AAAAAAACATGATTATAAGACATGTATAATACATGGTTTATTCATTAACAATAAATAAATCTTGCACACTTCACTCTCTTTTTAATGATCCCAGCCCAAATAATTTATAATACACTTGTAATACAATATAACACATGCATAATTTGATCCATGTCAAAGAAAGTGGAGATGTATCACTGTAAAATTGATATTCACCCGTCAATTATCAAGATGAAGTCCCATAACAAACATTGTCATCCCAATTTTAAGAGCAACTGCTTGGACTGTCAAATGTCCTTTTCTTCACGCACTACTTTGATATTGCATACGTGCATGCAATCAATTTGAGGTAATATTAATACTTGTCTTCGTTCTTTATTAGGTATTACATTTCTGCCTTCTTTTTCTATTTTTTTTCTATTTGTTTAGATGAAAGATGCATGCTACAAGAATGGTCATGCCCATAAAAATTTTCTATAGATACCTTAACATTTATTTTGATCCACGTCATTTCTTGAATCATATTAAATATAAAAGGATCAACAACTTAAATACCATTATAGTGGTTGACAACTTAATTTTCAGGGACTTTATTCTCCCTTTAGAGCCATAAAACTGAAGTTGTGGCTCAAGATTGTGGATCTTTTAACTGTAGCTTTAAAAAATTGATACCTCGTACAGAGAAAAAAAAAGAGGAGAAAAGTGGCGAGAGAGAAAAAGGAGAAAGAGGCGAGAGAGAAAACAAAAATCTAATAAAATACATAGTATTGTTATATATTGCTATAAATGGTAATAATTAGAGAATATATTTAAAATAAGTAATTATTCTTTAAAAGGGATCCACACAAGTAATTAATCCTTTAGAAGCTACGTGAATGTGACAAAGCATTTAGAAGGGCAATTAGCTCTAGCAGAGCCTATAGACGGAAGGTTCGAAATTTTCGTAGAAATAATCTCTCATGATATCTTACCATTTGAATAGAAGAATATAATTTTCCAAATATCTTATGTATAAAAATGAGGATTTTGGCGTGTGAAAATAAAATTTTCTAAAATAAATTACATAAATTAAAAACAAGTTTGTAAAGCTACAAAATCAAATCTCCCAAAATCTTCAGTGAGGAAAGAAAAAGTGTTACTTTTATACGAAAAAAAAATAGAAACATTTTCAGTATTTCAATAAGAATATGTTTTCGACATGCGTGAGCGGATTCAATGAAAAATAAATGAAAAAAATCATATTTCGTAACACAATTTGAATTTATGATAGATAAAACATCTGTTCATAATAGTGTATGATTAATGGGAGAGAAGGATTTCCTATATTGTATTTTAGAATAAAATAGATTTTTATACCTCAAAAGCTATCTAATCATTTTTTTTTTCCTTAAAAAAAAAGGGGGGAAATTAAGCAAATACTCCATAAAAGTAAAATAATTACAAATATATACTTCTTTACATTCATACCCCATTAAATGATTACACTATATATCCCTAACTAATTTCGCTTAACTAATACTAAATAAGTATCATATACTGTATTGGTATCAATAAAACTGATAATTTTAATTAATTGATACTGATTCAATATATATATATATATATATATATATATATATACTGTATTGGTAATACTGAGGTTTCTTGTTTAGTTACTCATTTGGCCAAGTTTTTGAGACGGTAAAGATATTTCTTTTAGAAAGTTGAGGTGTTTGAGTCAACTTTTCAGAGAGAAAAAATTAAAGTGTTTTGCTAAAGAATAAAAAAGAAGAAACAAAAGAAGAAGAACAAAGAATACATTATTTTGTAGAGGTGAAATTTTGATCACTTACTATTTATTAAAAAAAAAAGTGTAGGAGAGCGTTTTGTAAGAGTAAATAATACATGAACCAGGGATGGGTTTTTGGGTCAGTAGGATTGAACATGAAAATTTCAATTTGGATTTTTTGATTTCGGGATTTACGAACTTATAATTCAAATCCAATCTAACTAAACTCGAATTGAATTGGATTTCTCAAGTTTAGTTGGATTAATTGATTTGGATATTCTAAAAAAAATTATTTTGATTTTTAAGTCTTTTAAGGCAGACCAGATAAATTATTTCTTACATTCAAGCAGTAATTATTGCTATTTTTAATTTTTAATTTTTTATGTGGTTACACTATTTATATCATTTAACATGTTATGTCTGATTGTATACTCACTATATCAAAATTAATTTTTAGCCACAATCAATCAAATATCAAACACAATACATTTATGAAAATCACTTTTCAAATGAATTAATAAAAAAAAATGCTGCTTCTTTTTTTCAAGAGCACTTTAAGAAAAAAAACCATTTTAAAGAAGTGTTCTAAATAAGCAATTTTTAACCGCAATATCAGATATGCTATAGAGTTTGTTGTCTGAAAAATAGAGAACTCTATATTTGGAGAATAAAATAGAAGATAGGGTTCTATATTTTACTCTCCAACCTTTACACTCTATGTTACTCTCCAACCACCATAAATTAACCACTCTTGGACCCTATCAGCAAGAATTGTTGTACAAATTAACGTACAATCCTAAATTATTGAGTTAAATTGTGCTCCAAGAACATGGCCTTCTAGTTTTTTTCTAAGGGGGAAAAGACAAAGAATAAGTGGTAGGTTTGGGGGTTTCACTCTGGAAGTTTGGTGCCTTCTGGTTAAACTATTGATCCCTTTGATGACTCTCCTCTTCCATCTTCCCGAGTTGCAGAGAAGAATCCGAACTATGAAAATTTGAATGGATTTGTGAGCTTTGACACATATAAGGACACAAATTCAAAACGCCAAGTAAACACTGAACTTGACACATCACGATACCAATTCAATTTCAAACACCAATAGAACTTCGCTGCAAGATGCAGCGGGATGTTGTTCTCATCGTTTAAGAGGATAAACAATTTTCTTTGAGACGAAAATCTATAGAAAACCTCAGAGCACACAAGTTCAATTACGGTTGCCATCCACCAATGAATCTATACAAATACACACTCCGTTCATGCTACGGTAGATAAACTCATTTCCAGTTTTCTTTTAATTCCAGAAATACGCACCAAATCCTTTAGAAGATCACTTCTGATAGCCAGGAGGTGGATAACCAGAGGCAGGATAGCCCGCAGGTGGATAGCCAGCAGGCGGATAGCCTGGAGCTGGATAAGCTTGTTGAGGAGGAGCTGGATAAGCTTGTTGTGGAGGTGGTTGACCATAAGCTGGAGGAGGATATCCAACAGTTGGTGGGTAAGGCTGATCTAGTCGGGACATATGCTGCATAGGTGGCACTGCCATTGGTTGAGGACCGAACTTGCCATCTCTCTTGTCCATTTCAACCTTGTGTTGAGTCTGCATTGCTCATCAAACATAGTAATCTCAGATGTAAATTATTAAATAGGAAACCGTGGAAACCTTACAAGCTCAGGTTGCTCGTAAGCTCCTCGATCTTTTTTATGACAACTATCTTTTTAACTTAATTTTTTCCGCATAAACCATTGTCAATTTATAGTTATATAAGGAGAATCATTTCATAGTTGATAAAGTTGAATTGAGTTTCTTGCTTACCTGCATACAGGCACAAACCCTGCAATCAAGAAGATGCAGCATAGTTAGGAAAGAATTTTGAGCTACTGTTAATAGAGAGATACAGGATTATCAGAAAACAATATATGAAGATAATGTCCAGGAATAGAGCGAATATAGAGAAGCTTACGTGCAGTAGACCATGTCAGACAAACATGACAGCAGCTGAGAAGCTTCCTGGATCTCCTCACTTCCAACAATCATAGCAACAATTGAAAATATGCAAGCAAGTTGTTGGAGGCAGAACATGAAACCCTACAAAGCAGGAAGAAATGTGTTACGAAATACCTTACGGATTCACTCAAAATTCAGTAAAAAGGGGAACTTGGAGAGAGAAAGAGAGAGAGAGAGAGTTTACAATAATGCAATTATCACATCGCGTTGTTTGTATGTTGAACTCATCTTGCAACATGAAGCGGGTGGAAGCCACTGAATTTCCAAAGCAGAGAAAAACCTGGTAGTTTCAAAGATAGATAATCCATCACTGCATCAGAATATTAAAGCACACGAGGCAATATAAGGGAGGTTGAAGCTCAAAATACAACCCACCAAAATTATAGGTAGATACCACAGTTAGGATAAGGTAATGTTTGATGTCGTATGCTGCATACATTCAAGGTGAAAACTTAAACTTATTGGCAGCCATCAGAAAATTCTCTTATTTCTAACTCAAGAACATTCTATGACTAACTTGAGCTTGCTTTTTAAGACAGAACGTTGTTTCCCAAGTGTGGCCAGGGAACTACTGGAAGGTTGCATGTTGCGACTAGAATGGTCGTCCAAAACAGAGAACATGTTGGTTGACTGAATAAGAGAGGAGCAGCGCAATTCACCTGCCGAAGAAAGAACCAATCGTCCTAGAAAAAAGGGTATCAGTCGCCTAAGCAATATACTTGAAAAGAGAGGAGCAGTGCCAAACACCCAAAGAAGAGTGGAGAGCGCCCGTCACCAGAAAAAGGAGAGATGCTAATCATCACAAAGAGTGGGGCTGGTCACTGAAAAGAGGAGTGGCACTGGTGGGCAGAAAAAGAGCATCACAAGTTTCTGAAAGGGGAGTAAGTACAGACCATCACAAGGTGGAGCCTGCACCAATTGTCAGAGGAGGAGAGGAGAGGAGAGTACAGCACAAAGCATATATCATATGACTGCCTACTGGTATGTGGAAGTTTGTAACTCTCTACAAAGATGTGGCGACTCTGACGCCGTGCGGAAAAACTAATGAATTAGCACGGACGCATAGGCGCTCCTCATATAAAGTTTTAATCAGGTAGAGTAAAGAAAATAAACATTTTTGTACTTGAGAATATTCTTCTATTCAAATACAATTAATCAAAACAATTTTAAACTATAATTACATAAATTTTATTTATATTCTAGTAGTAAGCAAAAAAAAAAAAGGTAATCAACTTGGTGCTCACCTCAGTTGCTAAACAAAACTCAGGACAACGACTTTCTCCACACCGACCACTGCAGGGCATATAACCCGCACAGCATGTATACCTGTGAGACAGAAAATTTCATTATACCAAAACTAGTACCACCAGGGATTGATGAAAGATAAATGTCATACCTTGTCATATCACCATAGAGAGCTCGTTTCCGAAGCAAATATGATGCACATGGTGCACTGCAGAATTGAGAATTTAGCAAGGCAAATATATTACTTACTAAAAGGAGTTATCTCTTGAAGTAAAAAGAAGAAAACACTAGTGCACAATACCCGAAATGTATAGGAAGAATCCAGTTAAAGAATACAACAACAACAAACACAGAATAGTCCCACAACTAGAGTCTGGGGAGGGTGAGTGAACACATACCTTACCCCTACCTTTGTGGGGTAAAGAGGTTGTTTCCGATAGACCTTCAACTCAAGAAAATCGGTTATAGAACAAGTTTCAGAGAAATGCAAGAAACAAAAGCTATGATGAAAATAATGAAGAAAGAGAAGTAGTGACAGTAATAATAGTAAGGATAACCAAAGTAAAAATACAACAATAGTAATTTTGTCAAAAAAAAAAAAGAAAAAAAGAGAAAAAACAAAGGTAACGGATGGGTGCTCCAGACTAGACCCTGCTCTGCTCTACCTCTGGGAAAAGAGAAAACACTTGACTATCTCTAACTGTCTACCATAATCATTGACCTCCATGTTAAAGAATGTTAGCAATAAATATCTGGGAATCTAATCACAACAACACATATGTTGTGGGACATTCGGTTAAATTGATCATGAATCAATTTGATGATATGATTTTTCCAGAGTCACTAAAAAAAATTGGAAAGCACTCGCAAACTGGGATTAAAACCAAATAAACTAAAATCAGAGGAAAACATCCTTCACTATTTCTTGCTGTTCAGTACATTTAAAATTAGAAGCGCTCTAAATTATCCCTGATATCCCCTAAAGAACCAAGATATTTCCAGTAAACAATTCCTCTTTTCTACTACAACAGCAACCCCTACCCCGTCTCCCTTCCCAAAATCCTATTTGGACTCGTAGTTCCAAATTGCACCATGTCTTACAGTATCTCACTTTAACTTTCTGCTTGATTTAACAGAAATCAACCATTCGTGACCACACAGGCAGGCAGGTTGAAAGCAGAGAGATAATTCAGCCACCAGCCAAGTCAAAAAAACAAACAACCTTCCATTCCTTTTGGTGCAATTGGCGTAAATATCAATTGGTGCATCACTTTGCTTAATAAGTTAAAACTTGTTTGATAAGTTGGGTTTACTGAATAAATGTACATAAGACAACATTCAAAAAAAGGATAATCCAGATAAAGGAAACTACAAACAGCTGAATGTTATGGTCTTCCATATCTTCGGACATACTAGGTTAAACTAATTAATTCGCATCACACTGCAACAGCTCTCAATCGAACATCAAATTAAGCTTAAGATTGAAAGTTTCTTTCACTGGAACATTTGTTGTGTCTATTTTCTCTCTCTTCACTTGGCTCATATTCAATGGTGTTTGTTTGGGCTCTTTTTTTTACAATGGTGGTAGTTTGGAGCATCATTCTGTCATATCTGTTTTCACTTTCTTGCAGTAGTATTAGCATTATTCTCGTAGCTTCTTGTCTTGGACTTTGTCACCCTAATGTTTCTTGTGCTTTGATTATCGCATTATTTCGATGTTATTGTTCCTTTTCTCCTGAGTGTTATTTACTGCTCTCCTTCTGGTTGCCATGTCTTCTTCTTCTTCTCCGTATTTCCTTTTTCAAACTACTTTGAAAAGCTCTCCTTGAAGACCAAGGGTCTATCTAAAACAACCTCTCTACATTCATGAGTTAGAGTAGCAAGCGGGCAGGCCGGGTCGAAAACTAAAGGGATCTAACAAAACAGGTACTACTAGACTAAATCCAACTTAACTAATAGGATGGATATAAAACTCAATTCTAAAGAGCACATACAAACTAAGTCAAATCACCGCAATTCCTCTCAGCAAAACACTCGTTCCATCCAAATCAACAATCAAAACATAAAATTCTCCTATAAACTACCAATTTTTTTTTTCAGTTACAATTCATACAATAAGCATACATTCAACAGATCAAAAATCAACAACATTAGATACATCATGAAAAAAAAAAAAAAAACACATACGTACCACCACAAAGCAAAGCAGCAATCTGCAACCAAAACAAAACAAAAAAAACCGTATAAGCAATACACATAATAATCTTCTGTGGAATTACATACAGACAACTTGAAGGAGGTAGAGATTTACAAGGAGTATCAGCTTGGATTGTGCTCATAAGATCAGTGTGCCAAAGGTTGCGATAATTCTGTCGGACCTGCATCTTGTTCAAATACTCTTGCGACCCCATATCTGATCTCTGCTTAAGATTTGAGAGAAATGCAAATCAGAAACCCTAGATAAATCTCCTTTTTTGCTTTCAGTCAATGAAATGGGGAAAAGGAGTTTTTGCCAAGTCAATGTTAGTCCATATAAACAAAATTGAGACAATTTAAGCAAAAAAGTATAGAAAACGCTTGCGAAGTTTCCTCTTACACAGTTGGCGAAGACGTTCAAGTTGGGTTTGAAAATTGAAACCGTGGAGACGACGTTCTCTTTTCTTTTTTTTTTCGCTTTTAAGCCAAAAGAAAAGTGCCAAAGCAAGTGGCTACAAAGTACAAACTGAAAAAATCACTTTCTCCGATTCAATTTATATGAGTTAATTTGATTTGACGCCACATATGATTTAAATTAAGTCATATTTTTTCTGTTTCTTTTTAATTATCATGTCTCACTTTTCGATAATCAATTTAGCCAATATGTAAATTAGATTAGATTATATTAATTTGATATTTTAAAATAAAATTTTAGATTTTATATAGAAAGTAATATAAATTGCAACTTTTTTCATATTAATATGATGAAAAAATATATTTTAAAATGTTAGTCAAAATTCATATCGTTTTAACCCTCAAAAGGAAATTATGACAATTAAAAAGGAATCGAAGGAGTAGATATTTGTGTGACTATAAATCATTACATATTAAGAAAAAAATAAACATTTTAAAGTTAAATTATTATTAAATATACAATTATGTCATTTTATTTTAAACTGACTTAGAAAAGCAAGTAGAGTAATATAAATGGGACAGAGGGAATAGTACAATACTCTCTCAGGTCCATTCTAGTTACAATTCGTTTGGACATGCGAAATCATAATACTAAAGTTGGAGTTTTATTTGAATATACCATTTGATATTTTAAAATAAAATTTTAGAAAGTAATATAAATTGCAATATTTTTCATATCTGATGAAAAAATATATTTTTATATGTAATATATAAACTTATGTGTCAAATTTTACATTTTAAAAAATAAAATCATGATTGTTTTTTGGAAAATTTAGGATGTGAAATCATGATTTCAAATCGCGTATTTAAAAACTGACTTAAAATCATAATACAAAATTGCATGTCCGAACACAATCTTAGTATCATTTTATAAAATTAAGATACTATAATTAATTAACAGTTTTATTTTTATTCAATAAATATGGAGAAGATTAATGTAGTAAAAAAATGTAGTATTAAATTAAATTCAAAGAATAAATAAAAATGATTTAGTTAAATTGTCCTTTTAGTTAATATCTTCTTAAGAAGTATATAAAAGAAAAATATGATAAGTAAAATGGACCTAGAGGAGAGTAGTAACTAAAACTCATCTTTTTTTAATGAAAAATGTTCAAATTAAAATTTCTTTCTATTTTAATTTAGGTAAACTTTTTGAAACAATGTAAATATTAAGAAAATAATAATGATTTTTAAGTTGGGATCTCAGATATATCATATATTTGTGCAGTAATAAAATCATATTTTTAAATTGATATATAAATTTTTAAGTGTATATTTACAATAATGCAATAACATTCATTCAAATAAATAATAATTTTACAAAATTTAATCTTACCCTCAATTATTGTTTTTATTGTTTAAAGCCTTTTGCTTTCTTCATTTATTGTGAATGATGTTTGAATAAAGTGGATTGTGCAATTGGTTGTTGATGAGGATGAAAGGTGTAAGAATCAAACTTGAAGGCAATTTGCAATTAATGTCTATTTAGATTTTTGATAAAATCAAATTCAAACCGTTCAATTCATTTAAATTTGGATGGATTATTAATATGTCTATTTATTATTTCAATTCATTTTTTAATATTTAAATGATTTATAATAATTAACAGTGATATAATAAAATTCTTATTTTATTTATTACTTCTTATGGATATATCAAATTAAATATGAACAAATAAACACAGGCGGAAGGAGTAATAGTTTTAAGTAGCTACTATAATTAGTTAAGTTGACAATTAGTTGGATTAGCTGGATTTTGGATTAAAGAATATTTAGGGTGTGTTTGGTATGATGGAAAACATTTTCCAGAAAATGTTTTCCAATTTTCTCATGTTTGGTTGGGTTAAATGTTTTGGAAAATGTTTTCCAAATCAACTCATTTTCCTCAAATTTAAGGAAAATGACTTCCCTTCAAAACTTATGGAAAACATTTTCCAAAACTTTCTTCCAACTTCAACACCCCCTACCCACCCCACCCCCCAAAAGAAATTTAAGTTTGTTTTTAAAAAATGTTTTCAATTTCAAAAATTATTTTCTACTCTAGTAAAAATAAAAGATATTTCTCAAAAATATTTTCATTCATAAATCAAACACTAAAATTCTTTTCCGAAAAATATTTTCTAATCACCAACCAAACATGAGAAAATAAGTCAAAAATCAACTTATTTTCCAGGAAAACATTTTCTAGGAAAACATTTTCCATGGAAAACATTTTCCTTCATACCAAACACACCCTTAGACAAAATTTGAGAATTGTTTCCTTGTATCTCGTTTTGAATGTCTACTCAATTGATCCATGTGTAGACATTTGAATTGTCGATTTCATATCTCTTTCTTCTTTAATTTACTCTAGTAAATTGTAAACGTCTAAATTAAGTTTTAAGATAGATGCTCAATATATTTTATGTGAAGAGGAGATCGATGTGTAACTGCCTCGGTAAGAAGGTGTGAGAGATTGATCATAGTGAATTTGAGAAGGAATATAGATAGAATAAAAAAATATTGAGATGGGGTGATTTAGGTATGCTCACCGCAGACATAACCTTGATAGAAGGATATGGAGGATGAAGATTAGAATACAGGGTTAATAGGTAGTCGGATGTAGGGGTGACAAAATCAAATTCAACCCGTCCAACTTGACCCAATCCATTTAGGTTTGGGTTGGTTATTGACCCGCTAATTTGTTAGCTCAACCCATTTCAATCCATTAAAATTTGGGTTGATATTGATTTTTGAGAAATCTTGTCAAAATATTTCTAATTTTTTTAATATATTATATATAGTTATAATAATTTATTAGGTACTAAAAGCATATAAAATACTTCCTCAGTCCCTAATTACTTGTCTATTTTTCCTTTTTAGTTGTCCCTAATTACTTGTCCATTTTAACAAATCAAGAAAGAACAAGTTTTTTTTTACATATTATACCCTTAATTAATTACTTTGAAAAAAAATAAAAATTCTTGAAAATCTTAAGTTTTTAATTCATTAACTTCACAATTAATAGGGATAAAATGGTAAACTCACTATGTCAATTATTGTTTTCTTAATAGGTGTGTCAATTTTTAAAAGTGAACAAGTAATTAAGGACAAAAGGAGTAACAAATAAAACTATTAAAACTTAATAAAAATTAGGCGGGCAGAGTTGACCCGTTACCTAACCCGTTTTGACCTAATCCATTTTAGCTCAAACAAATTTGGGTTGGGTTGGTTGGATCTTGACCCGTTTATTGTCTCGACTCATTTTGACCCGCCCAAAATTCAATCCAATTCGCCCAATTGTCACCCCTAGTCAGATGTATTTCTTCTTCTTTTTCTATGTATTAGTATTAATCTTATTTTTCATTATTTTAGGTTTCTATTACTATATGTCATTACTTTTGTTTTTGTTGCTACTGCCTCGATAAGCTGGTTTGCGTGTAAAATTAAAGTGAATTTATCGTTGTTGTTTTTCCTATGAAGTTACTAGTAATTCTCAAAACTTAGATTATACGAAAAGAAGTTTCAAATGTTTGAAGTTATCATTGCATAAGAATTGGTGGAAAAAAAAAAAGACCTTAGAAAGGAATGGGAAAATGAGATAATTTCTCGGATGATCACTCAACTATATTCTCTTCGTTCCATTTTATGTTGCACTTTGCGAATTTCAAGATTCAAACACATCTATCTTTAATCATAAGTTTTTTCTAGATCTTTTTAACATTTTGAATTATCAATTACTTTTTACGTAATTTACAAATATATAAATTTCATTTCAAAAAAATTGAAGATTTTGTGCGCAAATTCTCGATCAAACTTAAACTGTTTTGACTCTCGGAAAAATAGCAAGTAAATTGGGACAGAGCGAGTAGTTATTATTTCTATTGGTTGAGTGAAATCAGGGGAAAAGTAGTCCTAAAAAGCATTAAAATAATTAAAAGACTCAAGTTCATGGACTAAGAATCTTTCACTTGATTTAGAGAAAGAAAGCTTTAGATACAAGCATTAAACCTGATAATTTACACACATAATTGACATCTGAAAAGTAGAAAAATCACAATAAACAACAGCACCAGACAGGGAAAATGATAAGATAAAAGGTATCTTCAACTCTTCAAGACCTGCTGCTCTTGAATGGAATAGCTCTGATGATTATCTGATGGTAAACTGCAGCAAGAGCTGCTCCAATGAATGGTCCAACCCAGAAGATCCACTGAAAATTATCAGGAAAAAACAACACTTTTTAGTCAAGACATAACACAACAACACGCCTTTCAAAATGTCGGAAAATTTGTCATCTCGACGTGCTTCTAAGTTAAAGACTTACGTGGTCATCCCATGCCTGGTCTTTGTTGTAGATGATAGCAGCTCCAAGACTCCTGGCAGGGTTGATGCCAGTTCCGGTGATTGGGATGGTGGCCAAATGAACCAAGAACACCGCGAATCCAATTGGAAGAGGTGCCAAAATCTGTCATAACAAAATTGTATATTATGATTCCTCATACATTGACTTGAATCTAGTACACAAAATCTATGTTGCTCAGACTCTTCAGAAATGCCAATGGATGCTTGTCGGATCCTCCAAAATTAGTGCATTTACAAAAAATCCGACACGGGTTCGGCTGTATTTTTGGGAGAGTCGGAGCATCATAGCACAGAAGGCAGTGCCAATGGGCCAATCTTGTCACAAGTTCTTAAGACAAGAATAGTTAAGTTATATTGTGTATGTATCAAACCATTTTACTCTCATTTTTTACCTCCTAAAGGTAAAAATCAAAACTTTGATCCAAAAAAGTACTCTAGCACTATTAAGCTAAAGTTATTGGTAGGACAAGAAAGCACTTACAGGAACATGTGAATCTCTAGCACTTCTTTTGGCATCAGTGGCAGAGAAAACAGTGTAGACAAGGACAAAAGTGCCAATAATCTCAGCACCAAGTCCATCACCTTTGGTGTAGCCAGGACTAACAAAATTAGCACCACCCTGAAGTCTCTCATAGGGTCCAACCATGAAACCCTTCACAACACCAGCACCACAGATGGCACCAAGGCACTGCATCACTATATAGAACACTGCCCTTGTTAAAGACAGTTTCCTTGCCAAGAACAGACCAAATGTCACAGCTGGATTAATGTGTCCTCCTGTTTCAGTACAAATTAGGGACTCAGTACATGAGCACATGTAAAAAATGATACTCAGCCTATTCAACCCCAAAAACTAGCTCGATTCATCAACAGATAAACAATTCACAATTCTTTAAATTTTAAAATTTAACTCCACTTGTGTGAGCTCACTCACATCACCAGTCTCAAGCTCCGATAAAGGAGGAGGGTTGTCGAGGATCAATCGGAAACAACCTCTCTCTAAGATAGGGGTAACTGCATACATCTTAACCTGCTCAGATTCCACTCGTGAAATTACACTAAGTTCATTGTAATTATATAGTCAAACTACTAACATAAGCAAATTAAAACAAAGGGTTTTTGTGGGTATTGTAGTAGATCCATAAAAACAGTCCCCAAATGAAAATCAGTGACAACAAACAAAAAAAGATTACAACTTTACAGTATCATGAGCAAAAAAAAAAAGATTTGAGCAAGAATTAAGTAGTACTATTAGTAACTAACCTGAGATACCAGCAGTACAGTAAACCAAAGCAAAGATCATACCACCAAAAGCCCAAGCAACTCCTTGAATACCCACAGAAGAACACAAACTATCAGACCTTTTAAGTCCCATAACAGTCAAGATAGTTATGTACAAGAACAAGAAAGTAGCCATAAACTCAGCAATTCCAGCTCTGTAAAAAGACCACGATGACAATTCCCCTGGTTCAAACAGAGGAGCTGGTGGTGGCTCCTTGTAATCCTTGTCTGTTTGAGCAGCTGTCCCCAATGGCTGAGTCTCTCTGTACTTGTTTGCTCCAAGATTAACATCTTCTTCTTTGTTCTCTGCCATTTTTTTTTTCCTCACTCACTTTTTTCTCTTCTCTCTGTGTATTATTGAGTGCTCAATGGAATCCAAGAAAAGGAAGTAAGGTGCTGAGACAAGGATAAGGTTTGTCTTATTTTATAGTGGAGAACACATCATTTACACCAATATAAAATATGGTACAATTTTTTTTTTCTTTTTTCACTTAGTTGTATAATAATTTATGGAGTTGTTATAATCTTTTTGTAAGGTTGATTAACTTGTTAATGGCAAATTATGAAGTCCACTACAGAGTGAAAATATTGCGAGAGAAGTATTGGAAACACCTTTGAACTTAACGTAAATTATTAATTTCGTTTCTGAACGGTTGACACTCTTAAAAACACCTTTCTACTTGATTAACTATACTTTGATACACCCACGATCGGCCACAAGTGGTCTCAAATCTTGTAAGAACATGAAAATCTTAATAAAAAGCGGAGAGAATTATTTAAAGTACTCTTAAACTTGACGAGAATTTATGGATGTATTTCACTCATTTTACAAGATTAGAAGTGTATTTAAGTTCAGTTAGTCAAGTAAATAAGTGTTTTTAAGGTTGTCACTAATTTGAGGATGAAAAAAATAATTGCACCGAATTTAGGTGTGTTTTCAATATATTTGTTTTTGGTAAAGAAAGAAAAGAAGGCTTTGGATTATGAAAGTCTCTATTCAAAGGTCTGACCTAGTAGTTAATAAAGTAAATTGAGAATATAAGATTTTCTATTCAAATTTTAATAGAGACAAAAATATTTGATTGATTTCTATCTGTTCTAAGCTGATAGAGTTAACTAGTATCAGTTATTAGTAAGAGATGATATATACTATATGAAATTAATTGAGGTGCTGATCAGAAGTTCATCATTATAAAAAATAATAATCATGAAAGTTAGGGATGCTTGACAATTTTTTCTATGCTTTAATTAGTTGTCCTTATTATCTTCTACAGAGTGTCACATAATTTATTTCTTGAAAAAGCTTATACTCTTCCATTTGATTTGCTGGTCGGGGCAAACTTATTCACCTAATCTTCAAATAGTTGCAACAAAGGCCAGCTAAGCAAAACTTTGAAATTTTGTATTGCCATCATAAAAAGTGATTTCTTTTTATTACACTATTAGGCAAAGGAAAGACTATAAGGAGATTAAATAATGATGAATTATTTTCTGACGTCCTTAATAGGGGACGATTTAAGTAGAATTGACAAGCTTTTAAGTTGATGAGTTTTTGAAAATAAGGTAGACATGCCATTATAGACAAATTTTTATACTAAGAAATAAAAGAGGAAAGTGAAGAGCTTTATAAGGCACAACTCAAATTTAGATAATACACATATTTTTGGGGGGCAATGTGGCCCAGACGAAAGGTTAGTATGAACCTAGATCCAAAGAGGATAATACATGGACTTAGATTATAACAAATATGATTTCAAAGCACGTATATTGCCAGGAAGATGGTGGAACAAACCTCGATGAGGACGCTATGTTTCTAAAAGAGGAGTGTATCGACACTCCTGACAGAGGGTGGTTTGATGAAGATGGTTTGTTGAAGGTGAATCAAGCAACTTCTAAAGATGGAGTGCACATAACATCTTAGCAAATCACATATCGAAATGAGAGATGAAACTAAAGAGTTTTATAAAGCATAACTCAAGTTCACATGATACATATATTTTTTAAGCTCGATGTGAAGATAAATCCAAGCTGACATAGGCATATAGCAAATAATACGTGTCATAAATTTAAATTATGATATATTTATTAGTATCTTTGCTGATAAATATTCTGGTATAATGGGTTTGATTATACATATTGTAATTATAGTATAAACATTTAGAAATTGCTTAGTCCCTTAGTTAAAAAAAATTCTATTAAACATGAAATGATTTTATATAGCTATAAAATTTTATTTCAAATAATTCATTGTGGCTAAAAGAATGTTATTGTTACAATAACTTTTATCACGTAGTAATAATTTATGATTATCTACGAAATTCTATTTAACAAGAATTTTATAGCTACTTAAGTAGATATTATCATCATTATTAATAATTATAACAACATTGAGAAATAAACTTTGCCAATTTCCTCTTCATCACTAAGAAATTTTGTGAATTCACAAATAGCATGAAGTGAGATGACTATATTAGTTTTAGCATAACTTTCACTATTTTATCGAATATTAATGATTATAACACCTTATCAACATAGGAATAAAGTATTTCTACCCACTAATTATATTATTAGACAAACCACTACAAAACAAAAACAACAAAAAAGAATCTTATTATAATGGTGATTATGGGCGGTGGGATTATCTAAGCAAAGCTAAATAAAGCTCATATTACTTAATTAAGCCCCTAACCCTCCTATTTTCTTTAATAATTTTTCTATATTAGTGGAGAAATCATAGCCACAGCCCCACAATCACCCAAAATAAAACAAAAATAAATAAATAAATAAATATATGGTCATTGAGTGGGCTAGAGAAAAAAATAGCCGTTTCTTTCTGTGACCGTTGAGAAAAAGTGACAGCTTTTTTCCCTTGTCAACATTACATGGCCAACACTCTATGGCCAGAATTTAAGCATAGAGCTCATCATCATCTTGAGCAGTTAGCCATTGTATCTGTAGTTGAAAAGGAATAAAGGATCCATCGATACCCTGTCTGTTTCAATTTACGTGATATTATTTGATTTGATATTAAATTTTAAAAGATTTTTGAAATTATGATGTAAAACAAAGTTTAGTCAGTTATGTGACTATAAATCATTTCATTATAAATGAGGAATTTGAAAAGTTCATAAATTTGCTCAAAAGAGATTTTTACACCGTGTCTACGAAGTTCATAAATTGCAAAAAGATAAAATTAAGGTGATTTTACTAATTGAAAAAGTTATTCCAGGTGAGAAATTCTAAAGGTGTGTGATCTAATTCATTTTGCACAAATAATGGGTCTTATACTACTAATCCCATTCCCACAAAAACATAATGCTCTATCTCGGATGAGAGGTCGGAGTTGTTCGGATGATGAAACTCTAGTTTTAAAATTGTAAGTTCGAGTTATCAAAAGTGTAAAAAAGATGGTAGCTCCTTGAAGGGGTTGGAAAAAAAACATATCCTATACTATGATTAATTACCATATCTAAAGTCTAATGAGAGTTTTCAAGAGAACTCCACACAAATAATAAAAAGAAAAGATGATGCTCCACTACCCTAACATTTGTGACAATTAATGTGGGCCAAATTCTACAAATTTGTCTTTGCTTGTGCTTAGCTTTATCTAGAATTTCCAGCAAATAGCTTGATAGTATTAGAACGAAAAAGAGGAATATCCAATCACGGTCTATACAACTCATACTCGTGACATTATTAATTGGCTTTTAGCCCTACTCACATGCTATATTGTGCAACTTCAAGCTCCACTCATAGAATCTATAAAAATGTTGTCGCACTTTTGTTGGATTCTTAAAAAATGCACTATTTTTGAAGGATTCGATACACATCTGATGACATTTTTGAAGAGTCCGAGCAACATTACCTTCAAAATTTGAGGTAGTACATATATCAAACAAAAAAGACAAAAAGAAAACTGAAAAAAAGATAAAGGAATTGTAACAAGTGAAAGATTGTGATCATATACTGTTAAATCTATCAATTTGTTTCAAGAGATTATATATATATATTATTAGGATCATATACATGAAAAGAGAATTGAGTAGTAGTTCATTGTCATCTTGTATATATGCAAGTTTGATTCTCATTTGGTTCTTTTTTGTCTCTCCTCTGACCGCTAATTATTTGTTTCGGGTCGATATTTTATTATTTTATTGTTTTTGTTTGTTGTTATTGCGTTTGTTTCATAATTTGTTCAGTCAAGGGTCTTTAAAAATAATAATATCTCTATCTTCTTAAAGGTCTAATAAGATCTGCCTACACTCTACTATCGTCTCCAACTCTACTTGTAAAATCAAACTGAATTTATTGTCTCTTCTCCCTGTTAATTTTTCTTGTATGACCCTGACAAAGGAATTATGTCAAATAAAAAAAGACAAAAAGAAAACTGAAAAAAGATAAAGAAATTGTAACAAGTGAGAGAAATGATCTCCCCTACACTTTTACTAATCAAGTTTTGATCTACTCTTCTGAGTTAAATTGAATTAGAATAATTTATTATTTTAAATTATAAATTTAGATATTCAAAAATTGTGATAATTTCCAATTCTTTTTTTTAGTTGATAAAAGAAATACGTCTTAAAATATTAATTAAAATGTATATAATTTAACTCTCGAAAAATGAAATGTAATAAGTAGAAGTGAATGAAAAAATATTTCTTAGCCGTCCAAACCTTATCAAGATTGTTAGTATATCAGCTAATGTCACAAAATCATGGGAAGTTTTTGCCTTAACAAACCGACTCATTTGTTAATGTTGCACAAAAAAAATTAGTGGAGTAATCAATTATGTGATAAATGATCCATATTATAATGTTAATATTAGAAGTGACCTCTTAGCCAATATTGTTTTTTATTTTAAAAAATGAGTGATGTAGGGAGAATAACCACATATACTACCATTTAAAAAAAAAATTAACACTAAAATCTAAATTTTATTTAGGAGATGTTATTAAGTATTGTTAAAGATAAGAGAGTAGGAGCATCTATTACATATATACATATTATTTACGGGCCAACTTAGGGTATGTGACTAATAAATAATATTACACGTCTTAATCACTAAATAAAATACATGTTTGTGACTTCAAGTTTTGTCAAAATTAATACAAATATATAGGTGCTAATAATTGTGTTACATTCTCATCATGACTCATGACTCATGACATTGATAGGTACTTAGCCTTGTTCCATACACAACCCCTTAAACTTACCCTCATTTTTCATTTTGGCACTCCAACTTAGTCTTGTTTCATTTTAACCCTTAAATTCCATTTTTTTCTGTATCATTTAAACACTAATACTATTTTTATG